GAGAAGTGTGAGAGAATGGAGAAAACATTTGGTATGCCATCTTTCGTTAAAAAGGATAAAAGAAGAAGATGCAGAGATTTACAAACTAGTCGCCTAGCTTCAAATACCAACAAATATTTACAGAAGTATAAGGTCTTAATGACAGACAGAATGTATTTGTCAGTAACAAATCATGTCAGAGTCCCTTAATTTATTCCTTGGAATAGCAGAGACACTGTGGATGGGGAAGGAACTGTAGATGTGATATAACTTTCACACTATGTGAAATTACTTTTGAAATAAATAAGGAGATATGGACGAAGATAAAATGATATGAGACTGTCGATGATTCATTGTCAAACCATAAAGGTGTATTGGTAGGGGGCTAGACACATTCTAGTGTGTCTGGAGTGATAGTGGTGTTCTGAGTCATTCAGAAGAGAGAGTGGAGAGTATGCTTGATAATTTCTCATTCAGCATCAACTGGGAGGATCTGAAAGCATTTTGGAGAGCAGAATTAGAATTTAAAAATTTTTTGACAGACTGGAGAAATGGCCTGAATTAACCAGGAATGTTTATGAGTAATCCCTCTGGAGTATTCAGTTTGTGTTAGCTTTTGACTAGATGAGGAAAGTTCAGAATAGGTCACAGGAATGACCAGAGACCTAGAAAGCATGGTATATGAAGAAGGGTTGGAAACTCTGGGTAGTCAGTCAGGGGGAGGTATAGGAGCCTTGGAATATGTAAAAGGTTGCTGCAGAAGGTAAGGAGTAACTTGTTCTCCATTTCCATTGGAAATAAGACAGAGTAATGAGCTTAAAAGACAGGTAGGGAGATTAAGAACAAACATTAGAAAAACATTGCTTGCATATATTGCCTTGAAACGCTGAGGATAGGTACAAAGAGGGCAGAACAAAATCTGTCAGGATTTAGATATGGTTGATCTTATTTTGGATTAGGGGAATGGATCAGATGGCCTCGTAAGATTTCTTTCGGCTGAATTTTCCAGTAGTTAATTGTTTAGTGAAAGAAAGTCTTGTGGAAGAATTTTTTCATAGATCCTAACTCTATTTCATTCTTGAAAGCAGTGCAGAGGACCTAATGAAAATCTACATGGAAGTCATACTTGTCTTTTACCACTAAGCCTGGTATTTCTATCACTTCAAATATAAAGGAGAAAAAAAATCATAAAACATTGCTGTTTGTTGTCCATCTGTTTTAAACTTACTTAAATATGGGCACTTTTAATATAGTCTTGGAGAAGCCCACAGGCTGGGACTACAAGAACCCTAAAGTATGTTCTTTGAGTGTTATGTTTGAGCAGTTTGAGCTCAGAAGCTCTAGCATAGCTCTTTTGGATATAAAGATTTACTCCAGACACTAGACACATGAGACAATTAAACTTTTGTGGTCTGTTCAGATTCTTAAAACCCCAAGGGTTTAAAAATAGTATTTCAGTACACTAATAGTTTCATCCAAATAGCACCACGAGATGTTATAAAGTTATGTGGATGCAGGCAGGATTTGTACATTATCTTGGAAACCTGGTGAGGGATCTGGTCCAAAAATCACAATTCAAAAGGTGTGAATTATTGTTACCATGGTATGAATGCCTTAAGTTTGCAGATATCACTAATAAACTTACTGAAGTAATGTAGATATTTCAGATATCTACACGTAGATATTGATTGGATTCTATGTCCTCAGAGGTCTTTTCCAACCTAATTGATTCTGTGATTCAGTGACTGTACCTTAATGTTAAAATACGCTCTGATATGTGTAAAGTCTGTTCTGGTAACTTGGCCTTTTTTAAAATTCATCTCTTCAGTGTAGGTACTGGTCACTACAGTCTATTCGTGCTGTGCAACAGAATCATAAAATCCTCACAGTAACACACAGCGGGAGAAATCTAGTTCACCTCCTATTTGAAGCAGGATTATTGCCAAAATGAGCTCAGCTCAACCACTGCTCTGTTTAGCCAAGTCTTAAAAACCTGGATAGACTGGAATTTCACAGTTTCTCTGTTCCAGAGCAGCTTCACCTTCCTAGTGAAAAAATATTTCCTTTTCATCTTCTATGAATCTCCAAAGCTGCAACTGTAGGCCATTTCCCCCCGGTTTTACCATGCAGCACTTCTGGAAAAATTTCTTTCTGTCGTGTTTTAACTCCTGTTCAAGTAGTTGAAGGTTTTTATTGAATTGTCCATTAGCTTCTTCTTCACAAGAATAAGCAAGGCCAGTTCCCTCAAACCTACTTATGCGTCACTGCCAGAGTGCCCTAGAAAATTTGAAAGCCATTTGTGTGATGCTTTCCAGTTTTTGAATATCCTCTTAAACTGAGGCGCCTCAAAACTGCACACTGTGTTCCAATATAAATGGTTTCAGTCAAGAAACACTGTTTTAATTTTGCTTTTTATTGCAGTACAGGTAATAATTAAAAGCACTAGTTTAAAATCCACACCAAGTTTCTGAACAAAACTGTTCTGGTATATGCAAACCAAAGGGGAAAAAAGAAAACTGCAGAGAAGTGAAAGAGCCTTCTGAAAGTGTTTAGTAAAAAAAAATCTTTAATTGGTTTGCCTGAAATCCTGAAAGATACTGCAACTTCAGCAGGTCACTGAAGTATAAAACTGGTAGGAGAGCTAATTTTGAACTTGAAGCTCGATGTGTAAAGGTAATTAGCAGCTGCAACCTTATTTTTTAAGAGTCTGAGAAGTTCTATAAAGCGAAATATTCTTGTGAATTGTGAGTTCATGGGGATCTGTCCATTGAAAGATCCTTCTTCCCTTTTCTTTAGAATGTGTCTACTCTAAGAAGAAATTGTGTGCTATGGCTCCAAGAGGAACTGAGTAGAATCTGCTGCCTGCTGTGTTTCTGGAGCACAGGATGGGTCTGGCTAAAATAAGTCTCCACTGCTCCACCTCTCTCCTTTTCTCTGAGTGATTTATAGTTCCTGGTGTAATGTAAACTCCTGGCCCAGCAGCCCCTCTGAAAGTCCCACACTCAGAAGCTTGCACCAGCCCAAGTCTTTAATCCTAACATTTTTAGCTCGTGTTCGCTCATTCTCTGGCAATTCTGGGTATGCTCTGGTCTCTACACAAATGCTATCCATTGTCTCCATCCTTCTTCACCTAGAAATTATGATCTTAAGTCTCCTTCATTCCGATTATTTCTAATTAAATAAATGAAAGGAGACAAGTGGCAGCCCTTGCCTATCTGAAAGAAAAACTTTAAAAGCAGCATCAAGAGGGTTACACTATAAGTGTTCATATAAAGCATTCTAAAGACACAACTTAGGCTATAGTGGTTTTCAATGTAATATATCAAGATGTGACCACCAAGGAAAAAAAGGCATAGCCAGAATCTTACTTTTGACTAAGGATAATACATTGTATAAATAATTATAAAATTTCATACAGGCGTAAGTGTCTTGTGGGTTGTTATCTTGATTTAGAAGTATGTATCTCCTAAATGATGATTATAGCATCACTGTAAGCTGTAATTCAGAGCTGCAGGTCTCAGCAAAAAAATCTGGTATGTGGGGTAATATAGTTTTGGATCCATCAAATGGCATGATATTTCCACCTTTTGGACATTTTTGAGTTAAATATTTTATAGATCAGACACTGTTTACAACTACATAAAATATCACTGTACACATTTAAGAAATGATGAACATCATTGCTCACAGAAGATCATAAGGCAGAATGTCGTCTTCAGAAAAAACACTTGTGTATGTTTTTTGTGAAAAAGAGTGAGAACTGTGGATATGAAGAGAGGAGAGCTTTATGTGTTTGCTATAAGCAGGTGCTGAGAAAGAAAACCCTTTTTGCGGCAAGCAGCTTTCTCAAAATGAGTTAAAACCACAGTCTTTAAAAATGCTTGTTAGTATCTGCCTGCACATTCTGTTTAGTAGATCATGGAATGATATTTGTTTAATATGCCCAGAGAAAGTTCTGAAAAATAAGTCACGTAACAGGCAAAATCCAAGGCCGTGACCTCAAAGCCTAGTTTATTCTGCCAGCTCTGTTGAAAACATTTCCATATGGTTACACTGAAAACTTTACCATAAAACAGAATTCTTCGATCTCTATTACTTTATGCAATCAAGGGTAAGGGATGCTGGAGTTTTTTAAAGATTTAAAAAGATATATAGTCAGTACTGAAAATTGAATTTAAAGACAAACTAGTAACCTGGCTGGCATTCCTAGGTACTGTCATGAGAAATTGGGTTCAGAGGACAGTTTTAGGACATACCATTTTTTCTGAACTTCTCTCCTTCACTTTTCTGTGAACTAGGATTTAGAACTTGGCCTTTGACCAGTGTTCAGGAGAGCAGTCATTGTAATTCTTTGTCATTGACAGGGATCGATAGCTAATCGTGGATGGTTCTGTGCTGGAAAGTTGCATGACTTGTAAGGCCATATAGAAGTGTACTCCTTTTTTCCACTTGGCAATCAAGATTTAGTAAAATAGCAATTTCTTCAAGGGCTTGAGTCTATCAGACAATAATTAGACTGAGGAAGTGGATATATGAAAATATCTCCTGGTGAACTGTTCTAACTTACACATATACTTTTAATTTGCTGCAGAAGGACAGGTTTGACATCATCACCCATGATTTGTTCTGTTTCACAAAGCAGACAGTTTGGATTTATAGATAATTTTTCTTTCACCACTTTTACATATGAAGATTTATTTTTTTTTTTATTTTTGGAGGCAAGAAGCTGTTAAAACAGTATGAATGTGTGCACTACAGTAAATGCCACCAGAAGGCTCCTGTTGTTCCTGATTCTAGTTTGGGTTCTTGTCAGGAAATACAAAGTGGCAGTCATACGTTGGCTGGCCTGGCTTCTCAGGGTGATTTCATTCTCCTAACTATGTATCTGCCACACATGGCTTCGCCATAACATTCAACTGTGTATCTTTGTAGTAAACAGAGGGCATTAGGGCCTCTTCACCTTCTTAGCTGTAACACAGAAACCTACTGGAAGTTCTATCAGTGTCTTTCATTTCTTTCAGAGGACCATCCAAAACAGAAATTGTAGTAGAGAATGAGGAAATGCAACACCAAAAATGGCTGAATCTGCACTCAGACTGGAAGAATAAAAATGCATCCACTTTACACGCTCTTCTAGTGAATGGGTAAGTAACAGGTAAATAAGATCTATTTCACTGCTGTGGGTAGTCTCTTACTAATGGAGGATAACAAACTCCCTCTTACTCCCAAAGTAAGCTCTTTTTTTCCAAGGTATCTGTGTATAAATCCCAGCACATACTCATGTGAGTTGTTAAGATACACTCTGCAATGATTTTAGTGTCTACAACAACTGTAGTCTGAGTCTAACTTCAAATCCTCAGGAGGCCATTCTGCTAAAATAACAGCACTTGAGTAATACAGAGGTGATGCCCCTGAAGCACCTGGACCAGACAGCTTCATTAAAACTCTGCTGAGCAAGATAGTCCAGCAAAATCTGCAGCCACATCTTACCATCCTCTTCAGCCCATGTAGTCTGGATTCATACATCTGGAGCAAACACAGCTTCTTCAGCAGAGTCTGTATCCACTTACAGTAGGTTTCCTTAGCAGCTCCTCCGGCTGATGGTATATTCCTTTCAATTAACCTGACTAAACAGGTAGTTGCTAATGAGAACCCAGGATCTCGTGGTTCAGACATTCAATCTGGCACTTCCCCTTGTTGAACTTCATATGACTGGTGATTCCCCACTCCTCTAATTTGTGAGGTCTCTCTGCAGGGCCTCCCTGCCTTCGAGGGAGTTGACAGCTCCTCCCAGTTTTGTGTCCTCTGCAAACTTTTTCAGTATCCTTTGCAGTCCTGTGTCCAAGTAATTTATGAATGAAAAAAGATGAAGATGAATGAAGATGATGAAGATGATGAAGAAAACTGGGCCTAAGATGGTGACCAGTCTGATGTCATCCCATTCACTATTACCCTCTGTAATCGAGCCATGAGCCAATTGCTCACCCACCACATGATGTGTTTATCCAACTGTGTGCTGGACAGTCTGTCCAGAAGGATCCCATTAGAGATGGTATTGAAAGCTTTACTGAAATTCAAAAAGATTACATCAACTGGCTTCCCTTGATCCACTAGGTGGGTTACCTTGTCATAAAAAGAAATCAGATTGGATAAGCAGGACTTTCCTCTCATGAAGCCGTTCTGGCTGTGACTGATGACTGTGTCGTCTTTCAGGAGTTTTTCAGTACATTCCAGAATAATGTTCTTTTTGTGCAACAGTGCTCACTGATTTAACCAGGATTTCCCCTCGCTTGACAAAAAGGTCACCTCTTCCCTCTCTCATATGAAAATTTTCAACAAATGATAAGTTTTTGTTGTTTTAATGCTTACTTATGCAAACTTCCTGGATTTTTTCAAAACACCCAAACTTTCAGGGCACAAAACTTCTAAGGCATCTGTTATCAAAGGCATTTCAAGGAAAATTCTGTCCTTTGTAAGGAAGAGGAGACTGGCAATCTCTGTGCTTTCGGGGGCCATAAATTAAGACTTGACAGACTGTACCTCCCAGTCGACCTCAGAGTTGGATCCATGCCCAGGGAGCGAGGTAGTCTGCAAAATGTGTAGCATCCCCTTCTGAAATGCATTGTAAAGCTGAACTAATATTTTGAATTTTCACCAGGCAGATGCTGGAAACCATGAATGATCTGACATAAGAAACTCCTTGAGTTTCTTTTTACAGTTTGGGGAATTTTTAACAGCTGGATTACACTGAGTACAATACCTGTGCTGATTTTCAAATTACTAAAATTAATCAATTAATTGAGATTTCTGCCATGTTTGTGTTTCCATATTTAGACAGATGTGTCAAAGCAGAAGCAAAGTGGCTCTCTTTTGCACTAAAGAAGGTAAGAGAGGAGTGCATATAAAATAGATGCTGTGTTAAAATGTGTTAAATCATTTTGAGAAATGTGTATGTTTAGTGTGGCTTCATTCTGAAATTTTTATTAGACCTCTGCAACATACAGTTTTGCACTGGGTTTATTTTTCCCTACTCTTCTCAGTTTCATCAGATTTTCTTATATTTTGACTATTGGATCTGTGTATTGAGGTAGCCCAGTCCTGATACCACAAAACAAATTTTGTCAGCAGTCAGGTTCCAAAAATTAAGTTCATAACACGTCCTTCTGAAAGTATCCTTTACCACCAGAGTGGTTAGCAGGCTATCTGCCTGGAAGTTGAAGCTGTGATCTGTTTAGTTGTTAAGCACAAGGGGACAGAAGAACCTGAAGTAGAAAGTTACAGACCAAGTCTGTTGGTACAGCAGATTTTGCAAGTTTAAGTGGTTTGAAAATGCACAAATTCATCTGTGAAGTTCGTCTGTGATGAAATCATGTTCTACAAAGAGAACTTTGCTGCAGAATACTTAAACTATGAATTAGCTTGACTCAGGGAAAAGTAATTTTGAGGCATGATCTAACTTTGGGAAACTAATCAAAACAGTTGCTATTTATCAAAAAAAGGAAAAAGCGCATAGGAGCCTGTCAAAGGTGTTTGCCTCTCATGTGTTACTTAAAGTACACTTAAAATTCCTTGCCCTCCAAAGTTAAGTGAACACATTAGGAATTACAAGTTACGAAATAACCATTGCTCCAATTTATTTCTTCACCACTAAATTACCAGATACATGCAATGGCAGCATATTCTCCCTTGGGATGCTGATTGCAGAAACTGGTGGTGTTCTTTTGTTCTCTAAATCACAGTGAGTATAAACAGGATAAGTAACAAGTCTGGTGTCTTTCAAGTCCAGAATATAAAGTGAAACAAAAGTGAACGAGTCTTTCAGAAAAATAACTGTCAAGTGGGAATCTGGTATAATTTCCAGTGGAAGTGGCTTGTAAAGTGGAATGGACAGACTACTGGAATGTCTTCAGATCTTCAAATATTTTTCCTTGGTAAATTCCACAGGCAAAGCAAATTTGCTGCTGTGTAGCTGAGGAAACAGTGTGACATTAACCTCACACCTGGCTTAAGAAAAGCCTTGTTACTGCTGAGCAGATCTTCCAGGAGTGGTTCTCATGGAAAGTAGGCTAACATGTTGCTAGCTGACAGGAGGACAAAGATATGAAACCAGGAAACCTCCCCAAGAGCAGTCCAGTAACTCCTGAGAGAAAGGAAGTCAGGATGCCAAATTTAGCTTGGTTAATATTTCAGGCTGAGCCAGTCAAAATTAATATCAGGAGAGCAAATCCTTTGATACAAAGGAAGAATAAAAATGGCTCAGTATGTTTAATACTGTTGTGCAGTTGCTGATGACCTCATTTACTGTATTGTACAGTAAATTAGTTTAATTTCAGTCAATTAAAATTACAGTCTAATTTCACAGCGCTGTTAAGACCATTCTGTGCTGTTCTCTTGCAGCCAGTGTTGTACGTGCTGCCTCTGTGGTAACAGTTAACGCTTTCCTGTTCCTCCCCAGACTGTGGCCGCCGCCCCGCTGCTCGCATGAACAAGAGGATCCTCGGGGGCAGGACCAGCCGCCCAGGCCGGTGGCCATGGCAGTGCTCCCTGCAGAGTGAGCCCAGTGGACACATATGTGGCTGTGTTCTGATTGCAAAGAGATGGGTCCTGACAGTAGCACACTGCTTTGAAGGGTGAGAGAGCTCAAGATGGTTTTACTGCTCATATGAACTTGCACATGTGAATTACCAATTCCTTCCTCCACTACCAAACACACTGGGGGTAGGTGATGATCTCTGCAGAATGGCCAATCTCTGCAGAATGGCCAATAGAGGCCTGCTTTTAAGAGACTAAAAAGGAAAGTAAAAGGTACAAACTAGCATCAGCTTAGGTTTTCAGATGTTTTATTATTCATTGCTAGTGTCTCTACTGATGAAAGCTCAATGAAGATGCCCTGACTTTCAGCAGGAAACAGGAAAACAGGAAGACCAAAATACTAATCCTATAGCTCTCCTACAACTGCCATGGATTTAAAAAAATTATTCTGTGCATGATTGTACAAAAGACCCTGGAAAAATGCTATGGCCATTGGTAAAAATGAAAACTGAGTATTTGCTCACAGTGCAAATGACATACTGAAGTCACTGCCTTTTCTATTTATACAGTTCACCCTTTTATTAGGATCCTAATCATTAAGAAGTCAATATTAACCACTACTTGATGCCTCCTGGTATCTGAGGCCCTGTGGTGTATGAACAGTCAGGTGTGCAAGGCATGTTTACATGTCTTGGAATTGTTTTGATCATGTCAGCTTTTTGGTGCTAACCGATATTTCTTTTTGATGAACCACATATTTTGGAGGGAATTTTATTACCTTGTATCTTTTGTCTTGTGCTAAAGTTTTTAAATTGAGTTTCTAAAGAAAATTTAAACGAGTGTTTTCTGCTGTAGTTAGCAAGTGCTTTTATGGTTGCTTAATCTTGCTTTAAATCGGTGTTTGCTCATTGGAAATTATTTTAAACTACTCTAAACACCTTTCTTTGTGTTCAAGCCTGCCGAAATCCTCTGTTAAGCAAAATTCTCTTGACTGGTATTTCTTTATAATGTTAGTCATTCACTTTTTGAGTAATAATTTAAATTTTGTCTTTTTATTTCTGAAAGACTGAGTTATTTGGTATTTGTTGGGTTTTGTGACTTTTGTGTCCAAGCCAGAAGACATCAGGTGTATCTCAAGACGTCTGTGAGTATCTCAAGGTGTGAGATATAAGATACCATATTAATGGAAATGCCATTGGATAGACCTCGGTTCTGACTAACACATCATATCAAGCTCTAAGGATGTTCAAGAACTGATTGCATTCAAAAAGAAGAAAAGTTATAATCAGAAACTTGAACATAGATGACCTTCCTCCTAAACAGTGTGCTAAATGTCTATAATACAAACAAGAACATAGTATTTTATCAGGTTTTGGGTCCAGAAGGAATTTCTCTTCTTTCTCCATCTATTTTTAAATATACTGCTGGAATATTTCCTAACCTTTGGAAGAACATTTTCTGGTGATCTAAAATAAAGAGTGGGACAGAGATCGATCCTTCCGCAATATTGGACTGATACTGAATCTCCTGAATAAGAGATTTCTCCCATTAGTGAAAGATAGGAAAAGCAGCTGTCAAATTACAAAGTAAAAATTCTCCCAGTTTTGTCAGTTGTAGAAAGACTGCCATTACATTTTGGAGCTGTGCATTTACCCCTCACATAGGGCTATATAGTTTCTATGGAGCTCAGAGTATTACTTGTAACAGGTTTCTTTCACATTTGTGTTCTAAAGACCTTAAAGTACTAACATTCCAGTTTAATAATTCATTGTCCAGTTATGAACTTTTTTCTCTTCTACCTTTCTGAATAGATTTGAGGAGTCTGAAATCTTCAGATTCTTCATTTGTAACAAGCCATTTGTAAGCCTAATGTATCAACAGCAAGATCATTCTTGAAGTCACAAAGTTTTCTTGATAAAAAGTATTTAAAAATTTCCCAAACCAACCAGATAAGACAATAATTTCAAGAGACTTTAAAGTGCTCTGGTGCCTTATACAAAATGCTCCATTTTGCAAAGTATTTTATGAAGTTAATATGAAGTTCGGAGTACAAAACATGAGGAATACATAACAGTAATGTAGTATTAATACAATGTAGTATTAATAGTATTGGAAAGAGCTGCATTAAACACCATGGTCTTTGCTAGTTTTATCATTATAGTCCCCAGAGTTTTGTCAAGATTGTTTTGAAATGCATTATATTAAAGCATCCAAGACAGTAAGGTTTTTTCTTAATTGTAGGACAATACATTTTGGCTGTGACTGCTTATTGCTCTAGGCAATGCTTTTCTCGATGGTCATAAAAACAAGAGCCTATGAATATTCTTAGCACTTAATTTCTGTAACTTTATGGAAAAACTCGCAAACTGATCATGATGGTAAAACGATCATTATAGTCTGAAATATCAGAATTTTCATCCAACTCTTAAGATAAAAATAGTCTTTATTTAGCAACCAAATCTCTTGGCAAATTACAGGAATTACAGTCCTGTTGGTACTGTGAAAAAGTTGAAATTTTGCATGCTTTGATTTACACTGCTTTGAATCCTTTGTCAAAGGTTCTCAGTTATATGGAGCTGTCTTTCAGCAGTTGTGAGAACTGCTGACTTTTTTGAGGGCTTTTCAAGTCACAGACTAATTAGGAACCCATGAAGACTAATTAGGAACCTGCAACTTGTTCTGTGACCAGTTATGATCAAGAGAAGCCTTTCATAAAATCTATGTTTTTCACTTGTGTCTCAACTGACACTAGTTCAGTCTTCCCACCTTGTATCATATGTATCACTGCTTTGTGGTCTTGTACATTTACCAGAAGAGTCTTAAACAAATGTAAGAGTCAAAGTAACCTTTGATCTTAGGCATAGAAAGTATGCTTGGCACAGATTGACTGCCCAATAAATAAGGGATTTTTCCCATGGCCATCATAAAATATTTAATTTACATAATAGCATTACTTCTCTGAGACTCCATAGGGATTTCAGCTAGACTTACTGCTGTCAGCAGCAGACTACTGAACAATATTCTTATCCCAGTAAAATTTGAATGTGCCCACCAGTGAGCATGTTAGCAACCAATACTTGGGCAGAATCCAAGAGATGATTTTGAGAGCCTTTAATACAGCAACTAAGAGATGGTTACATATCTTCTAACGGAGTGAGTTTCAATGCATTTGGTTACAGACAGGAAGGAAATGGAAAGCAGTGTCTTCTGTTGCTCAGATCTTAGCTGTAAGGAATGATGCCTAAGTGTTTCTTTTTTCTTGTAGTATTTGTATGTGCATTGCTTTGCAAAGTGCAGTGTGCAAAAAGGGAGAAAAAATTCTCGGGTATTTTATCTTAAAAGAAAGATCTTGATTGAAATTTCACATTTTTTCTTCTTCTTTCTTTTTTTTTACTAAGGAGAGAAAATGCAGCTGTTTGGAAAGTAGTGTTTGGAATTAGCAATCTTGATCATCCATCGGGCTTCATGCAGACCCGACTAGTGAAGACCATCATCCTCCATCCACGGTACAACAGAGCAGTCGTAGACTACGATATCAGCATCGTGGAGCTTGACAAGGATATCAATGAGACAAGCTATGTAAGACCTGTCTGTTTGCCCAGCAAGGACCAGTTGGTTCAGCCAGACACCTACTGCTACATCACAGGCTGGGGACACATGGGCAACAAAAGTAAGATGAATATTTCTGGGACTTTAGGAAAGACATGTGAACCTTCTACTGAGTTACTCAAACGAGTGATCCTGTTACAAACCTTCATCCATTTATACTATTACTGGGTCTTAGTAAATACCAGGGAACTGGAACTACTCTTGAAGACATCAAGTTGTGATTAGAGCCTAGCTTTTCCAAAGCAGCAGCCTCAATTTATGCTTCTTAATCCTTATTTAGACAAGTGGTTTGATTTTTAAAAATGCTGAGGACCTAGAAACTCCTGTCAAGAAAGTCACCTGAATTACTTATAATTTTACTGGTCTAAGTTGTATTCAGAAATGTATTGCAAAGGTATTGCATCATCATTGCAGGTGGAAACATTCCTAGCTCAGTGAAAGCTGAAGGCACTGAAAGCATTGGTACACAGGCTGAAGGAGTAGGGTCTTGAATCAGGACACTGGATCACACTTTGTACTTGTGACACAATTTATTCCATAATCACAGCTGTTGGTTTTGTATTTGAACAGAATGTTAGTGTGTTTTCTTGTTCTTCGGCTACTGCAATCCTTGCTTCCCATGACAAGAACTGTTATGTAAATCTTTGTTCAGGAAAAATGATTCTGCATGAATCATATGCAAATTAGCCTGCCCCAACCCTGTTAATGTACTAGCCATTGTGTTTCTCCCTTTGCTATTATTATAGTAATTACTAGGGATGGCTTTTCTGTACACGGGAGAAGGAAATTTTCCTTTCCATTTTGCTTCAGGTGGGACTTCAGCTGCAGTGGCCAGGTCAAATGGGGTAAAAATTAAAGTGCACACATGAGGAGTGTGTGCAGGCTTTTACTAGCAGCTTTATCCATCTAAAAATATCTCTATGTAACGTCAGGAAAAAAAGCTCAAAAGAACTCTTTCACAGCACTGGTAAATGGAAAAAGGTTCTTGTTCTCTAATGTGGTCAGTGTTGCTTTTAAAGGTTATATGTTAGGAAGCATCAAAAACCATTTATTACTGCACCACCTAGACTGAACAACTTGATTAGAATTTGAGCTCACTCAGTTGTCCAGTCTACAAAAAAGTCCTTTATTGTCTCCTGAAAGTGATACAATCATTTCAATAAGCTTTGAATTCTGATTCCCTGATACATTCTGTAAGTCAAATTTACCCAAACATAACTCAAAATGGCTTTGATTATACCAGGCTTTACCATGAGAAACAAAAGAAACAGGGAGATCCTGCCATGGAACAGTGAATCAAACTTCACCTTCCTCATATGACTGTTTTCCAACCACTACTGCCCCTGTCTTAGAAATCCCACACCATATCATGTCAAGGTGCGAATGTTCAATAAACAGCATCGCACTAGTGCTCAGTCCTTCTCCAGAATGCAACACATAATGCTCCTGGCTCAGGAGCATGACAGTCACAAATCCTGCAATGCAATAGTGCAAAAATCCACTGGCTTTCACCTTGGCTTTGTGCTAAAGGGAGATTCTTCACTCCTTACATTTAATATACATAGAGCAATATTAAAAATTCATCCCAATGAAAATGTTTCTCATATCTCAAACAGCCATCATAGCTAAGTATTTGTGTCTTTGCATATAGTTTAATGCTTAATTCTGTTTATCAGTGCCTTTCAAGCTTCAAGAAGGAGAGGTTCGCATCATTTCCTTAGAACAATGCCAGTCATACTTTGACATGAAAATCATCACCAGCAGGATGCTGTGTGCTGGCTATGAATCTGGCACTGTGGACTCTTGCATGGTAGGCTTCTCTCTATGGAAACAGTCAAAATTGCTTTTAGAAATCAAAGTAGTGTGATGTTTATTAGGTATAGCATACTTTATTATAGGAATGACAACCATCTATTTACACATTTTAAACAAACTTTTATTATTATTACTATTATTGTTACTACCGATGTAAACAATTTCATGATAATTAAATGCTGCTTGAAGACTCTAGGGTTAATCTATATTAGTTAACTTTTTAATTTGTATGAGCCTTTTGCAGGTAATTTTTGGTACAAATGTAATAAATACTGGTAATGCTGCGTGCTGCTACATTGTTCAGCAGAGCAGCTGGTTTTTACAGCTGAGTTATTTACTAAAGGCAAATGGCTGTAGGAACTGTGATGTAGCTTTAACCATGACTGCTAGCCACGTGTATAAGAGACTGATTTTCCCTCTTCTGTTGCAGGGTGACAGTGGAGGACCACTTGTGTGCGAGCAACCTGCAGGGCGCTGGACTTTGTTTGGTTTAACATCCTGGGGCTCTGTCTGCTTTTCCAAGGTTTTGGGACCTGGAGTTTACAGTAACGTGTCACATTTTATTGAGTGGATTGAAAGACAAATATACATCCACACCTTTCTGCTAAATTAACTCCAGATGGTAAGAATTGTGCTGACAGACAAAAGAAAAAAGGAGTCAGCACTTCAACACTAAAGGTTTTGCAGTCCAGAAACTCTATAAAGTAGTTTCAAGCTCTATCTGTTCTTGTTGTGGAGCTATAGAACGAGCAGTTTATGTTAATGATGAACCCTCTGATGATGAATATACTTTGGGGTAGAATTAATAATCCTTTGGACTTTTCTTTTAACTGTGTTGTGGTGCTATTCCAAACACAGCAAAAGGCTTAAAAGGAAAGAATCAGCCACTTTCTGCCTTTCAGCTATTAAAACTAAGTAGCAGTACAGGCTAGGAAAACCTTTTTAAATAACCTATTTTAATACTATTCAATTAGTAGCACATACATTTTCACTCACTTCTTGTCATGAGGAAGGAACTCTGTGCATTCAGATGGCACTGCAGGACATATATTCACAAGGACAACACAAAGACATGGTCGCACCATACGTTGGAGGGTGTGGAAGAGATTGATGGGTTTGTACACCCATGTGGCACAGGACACATCAAAGCTCATATGCAGGTCTGCAAAGGTGTGTAGCCACATGCTCCCAGTGTGCCTGTCTGGCACACTGCATTCTGTCCCTCAGAGTGGCAAACTTGCATGGGCATAACCCTGTACTGTCCTGACTTCACAGCTTCTGTTCCCAGAGCCAGCTTGGGCATCTCGGAGGAGTGATGGAGGAACCAGTAGGCCAAAAGACCCGTAACTACCACTTGAGGCACCCAAGACCAAAACTTTATTGTTCGTCACACTCTTTAGACAGATTCTACCACTTTATTTTCTGCAGCTTCCAGTATCCTAACATGTCCAGGAAACATCCATGTCTTGGCAGCAGTACAGTGATCAGTGCATTTATCAAACCTGTGCCCCACTGGCTTTTCTCTTCATGTGTGTTCAGCACACAAAGCGTGCAGGGACCTTCTCCAGCCCTCTAAAAACATGAGAAGGTTGCCTATGCCACTGCAATGGTTTCCCCTTCTAAAGTCAGCTAGTTTGGACATGTGGTGAGAGATGGAATATGCAGATTTAAAATGGAAAAGATATAGTATGGGCACTGTCCATAATGCTGGGAACCGAGTATTTTTTGATAGGTCTCTTCTAGTGCCTTGCATTTAAAGTTTAATTTTGACTAACAAGAGTAAAAATTTGGGAAAAGGTAAAAAGCAGAAAGAAACTTGAATAACAGGCAGCTTGAGATTCCAGCTTCTGTTCAAATGAGTATTAGAAATACGTGAAGCTAAGTACAACAGCTTTACCAGCAAAGGCTCAAAGAGCCTAGCTCTTGTGCTTGGTAGCCAGACATGGAGTGCTCTGTGCAGTAGTAAGAGAATAAGCCTTGACTCCAGGAGTCTGGTTGAAAAAGATTATAATGGAGCTTGGCACCTCTTCATGGTGCAAGAGGGACAGTGTGTCTTATCAAATTCTGTAGGTGATGTGCAGCACAGCTCTCAGCTTTTGGGAGGCCAGAGAAGGAAGGAGAAGTCAGGAACCGAGGATTACAGGATGAATTCCACTGGGGAATAATGTGTTTAAAAACTGTTTTCAGTGCTGTGCCTAGTCCCCCACAAATCCAGCCTAAGGCACATAATTACCCTTTCTGCTACCTCTGGCATGCCCCCATAACAACATGGCAGGGCCTTGTCAATACCATGGCTGCCATATGTGGAAACGTGCATTGAAAGAAGTAACACATGGACATTTCAGGTACTAATAATCATGTTGCAACTTATCTACATAGATCTATGCTTTAGTGCAGGTTTACCTCTTATCTCCATATCTTCTTTAGCATGACTAACATTAGAACATTAGTCATATTAGGCAGCGCTGTAGACATCAATATCAATACATATTCAAGATTTATGTTATGGATTCTGAAACTAATTGATTTTTGAATCACTCAGAAAGAAAACCCTCTGAAGCTTTGCTACCTTTTGGTTTAGTTGTTTGGTTTTTTTTTTATTTTTGGTATCTTAAGGATTTTTGGTTTTACTGTAACACTTTAATATTCTTCTTCCCCCAGCTATAAATGAGAGAAAGCAGCTGTGACCGTGTTTTTCCAGTGCAAGTAGATTACAGCTGAAGCAGGTTACTGATATCTTTGCCTCAAGGATATCGAGGGTGGAGCTCTCAGTCCTCACTTCAGCTGTCCTCTGGGGCCAGGATCTCTGCAGTTGTAGGGCAGCAAAGCTCAAAGTCCTGGAGCTGGTTACCAAGAGTTCCTTGAGAAGGCGGCCCCAGGGATTGCCAGAGCCAGCCAGCCCTGCTGTCCCTCTGACATGCCTGGTAACAGGTTTCAGCCAGGTCTGTTTTCCAAAGAGGTGCTGTTGCAGAATGAGCAGCCCAGCCTGACTTCTCTCCACCCGATGAAGTGGTTATCAGCTTTGAATATTGTAAAGCACTGGAGTACATATAATCATTCATGTAGGTATTAGCATTACTAAACGATAACATGTAATTATACATTTTAATTAACTGGGTTTGGCCTGCCACCAGTTTCCAAGCAGTCCCTCCCAGGAAATGAGGGAGAGTCCTGCTTAAACATATGGTCTAGACCCATCCCGTATGGGATTCCTATGAAAAAATTACAGGCTGAACCCCATCCCAAACGGCTTTAGGAGGGAACAGTTGGGTCTTGTCCTTCCACACAACTCTGACACAACATTCCGTGTAAAGAGGAAATTTGTAATTTTATAAAGGTATTTTTATACTGGTTTTTTTATGTGTGCACATGAAATAGGCAAACATGCTCTTCCTTCCACTGTAGCAAGTCTTTCCCTGTGTGTTGATCATAATTACACTTTTTCTCTTACAGGTAAGGTAACATTTGTCAGTTTTGTTTCTACCACAGCTGTAGCTCCAAATGGAAGCAATGCCACACAGTCAAGCCGATGTGTGTCTTTCTAGTTGTACTAATAAAAATTTACAATCATTTTCCAAGTAACTTCTCTGTTGAAAATGTGTTTTAAACTTTACAGAGACTAAATGGTAATAAGGAGATGTGAAGTTATAACTTTAGCAATAATGCCTAAAAATAGCCTCCAAAAAGCATTTTTGTACCCTTAGCTGGCTTTTTTTTAAGCAGCCCTGACAGGCCTGTAAGCACTGCAACACTTGTGGAGATTCTGGCACTTCTATCACTGTAAAACTTCCAGTTTCTTCTGTGTGTATGCTTCCAGTACAGAATATTACCAGCAAAAGACTGAGAAATCTGAAAAACTAAATCTGCAATCTGAACACATTTTGTTCTATGGCTATTTCTCTGGAATACAATTAGTTTGAAATAACAATCTTCTTTTAACTTGTACACAGCATTTCAACAACATGCAAACATGCTGAAATCAAAATAAAAAGCACACAGAAGCTTAAAACAGTTAAAATGTATGTTTTCACTGCAGTAAGGCAGCCAGGACCATGAGGGCAAGAGTAACACAACCAGAATAAAACAACAACAAATAATACAAAAACCACACTGAAATTCAGTTGTGAGAATGATCTTAACACAGTCACATTCAGGACTTGCCCATTAGCCTTCGCAGAGAGCCAGGGATGGTGGGAGCAGCAGGCACTCTGCTTTGCCTTCTCGTCAGCCTTGAGCTGCAGCCAGTGGGCCTGAGGAAAAAACATGGCTTGGGCTAAACATTCAGCTGAAATTGTGCCCCAGGTACAGACCAAACCTCAGTGCTGCCAAAACGCTCAGTAAAGGCAATGGCTGACTGCCTCCTGCAAATGTTTAGCACAGGCATGGCTGCAGTGAAAGAAAAATCAAATATTGCACATCACAAAGGCAGTTAAAGCTGCTCTAGGTGTAGCTGCAAAGTTTGGGGCAATTCAAAGTGGTTGTTTTGGTTTATTTTAAATCGACAAAAGCCTAAATGTACATGACATCTGGAAGGCACCTGTGAGATGGTCTTAAAAAGCTTGTTTTCAAAATGGAAAAGTGAGGTCATGCTGTGCCTAAGTGCAGGAATGCAGAAGCAAGCAGGGGATCATGATGTTTTCAGTGCTAAAAAAAAAATAATAAAGGGAACATTGAACTGCTGAGAAGTATAGGGAGAGCAATTCGTTTGCACCCTTCATTTGGCACCACTTTATATATGGCCAATTAACATTTTGAAGCTTTTACTAAAGACTCACTACCTTCATCTTCCCTTCAGTAAAAGACAACAAGTGATCACAGCAAACAGCCCTCAGGTATTTCTGCTGCTTGTCCATCACAAAAATACCAGCCAACCAACCAACCAGTGAACCAACTCCCACCCAAAAAACTACCAACCAAAAAAAAAAAACAACCCCTCAAAAAAGTGTTTTATGCAACGGATAACAGATAATTTTATCACCCAGACTGCTTGTCAAAGTCCTCTACTAGAACACAACCTATAGAGGACAATTTTAAGCAACATGCAGTATCAAATACATCAGTGATGCAAGACACAAAATAAAAAAAGTGTGTGTTATTTTGCACCATTTCAAGTGGTACAAAAACACAATCTCAGCAGAGAGAAACATTTAAAAGGATCTGAAGTTTCACAGTAACCCACAGAGCCTGGCACTTTTGAGACCCAAATGAAATCAGCTTTCAACCAGTTTAAGATGCATCCTGCACTAAGCTGTGAGTAGTGGGGTGATCATGCTTGTAAAGAGTCACATAATAGCAATTTAAATGTCCCAGAGGCATCATGCAGCTGGTCTAAGGGCTGACAGATGACTCCAACTTATTTTTCTTCATGTAGTTACTTTGATGCCATGGCTTACAGACAGGTTTTGGAAGATCTTACTCTGAATATTTATGGCTTTTGTGTAAGACCCATGTGAATTCCTGACTCCAAATGATCTACCTGACAGATGTGCTGGTAGGTTCTGCTCCTGCAGCAGAGGCAATAAGAGGGCAGGTCACAGGCCAGTGTTGTCCTCCAAACTCTTTTTCACAGTGACAGGAGGGGACAGAGCTGAGCCCTGCACTGCCTCAGATCACTGCTAAGTCTCAAAGCTCCTCCATAAAAGCTCAACAGTCATAGTCACAGACTCACAGAACATAAAAACAATCTGCCCTGTAGACACAAGTGCCGTAGGTTTAAGGTGCAGATGATTCATTCAGGTCAGACAGTAGAAACAAAACCAGTATTTGACTTCTAGGGCAGAAAAGCACTGGCCTGGCCTGTTTCTCTGGAGCTCTTTACAACAGGAGAACATCTGCTATGAATTGCAAGGGTAGAGCCGAGCTTGCCTTGGGGCTGTGCAGCAGAGTAGATGATTTCACTGCATCCCAGTAAGTCTCTTCCTGTATAATTCTGCCCTTGTATCAGCTCATCTCCCTGCACAACCTGCTGGCTGTTTTGCATCTTCTTTTTGGACACCTTGCAGCTCCCATGGCTTGTAGAGAAAGCTGAGATGTTTCACTTGAACAACTGGAGGCCACTCCTAGCAAGGTGCCCCCACAGCAAGAAGGATGTTACAGACAAACATCTGAAAACGTAACTACAAACCAACATGCTCGACATGATCTCTTAGAATTTGAATGTCTGCCATCACTTCAAAGGTCCCCACTAACTTGATGTTAGAACTTAACAAAACATTTTGTCTTATGTTCAACCAGATTAAAAAAAAAAATAATTCAGAAATAGCTGTCATCACTGGCTCCTTCCTCTTTTTTATTTCTACAGAAGAAAAAACAAAAAGGTTATTTTTCTCTTTTTCTCCTCACTAACACTAGGGATGGAGTCAGCCCTAATTACATTTTACCTTTTGAAAACAGAACTGCTTTAAACTTTTGGTAACATGTGGTGACCGGCGTTTGAATGAACTTATCATGCCCTCAGTATCTGCCCTGCATAGCAGCAGCTGTCTCAGACCTCACAGCGTTTGTTTAAATTCTTGCAGAGATCTTAAAAGATGTGGAATATGTAATGTTGATCATTGATGTGTAAAGCTCATGGTTCAATTAAAAAGCAGAGCCCTTGCCCCAAACACAGTGCCTAAAAATAAACACAAATCTTGGCAATTGGAAAGCAGAAACTTTCAGAAAGTAACAGAACCAAAAAAAATGGGCTCAATACTAATAATTCATTAGCAGCTACAGTTTGAGGAAACTTTTTATTTCAACAGGTGTTAGCGGATACAAAAAATTTTCCTAAGTTCCTCCATAAATCTGCCATGTAACTGGCAAAGGGAAGTAAATGGAGGGAAGTAAAATGGTAGCCATATTTTAGTCTGGAATCCAGAAGTAGCCATGTGTACCTCAACCACCTTTGTTCAGTGTGCTGAGCAGTGGGAAAATGACAGAGGCAGGACTCATCTACCTCCAAGAGGAGATGAGCAACAGCACTCGGATGTGGGATATGCAGTGGGCTATTCCTTCTTCGAGCAGCCTTTAGAGACACTTCAGCTGATTATTATAAAAGTCTGGAAGAATGTAAAAACACCTGAGAGTAAAGAAGAGTGATCTCATCAGCTGGAAGCTGCTATTTGTAAGAGAAAGCGTGAAGACAGGCCGGAGTTACCCACTGCCAGACAATTCTGCAGTGCAGGCAGGAGGCAGTTTAGAGAAAAGTCAAGCAGTCAACATCTGAATTGGGTGAGGAGGAAAAGAAGTCCTGTCAGTGGCGAATAACGTGGAATGGTACATGGAGTCAAAATGGAGGGATGCAGTAGGAGGATGAACTAACACAGAGAACAAAAGACTGCACTAGGATTTGCTCTTTTCATGAAGAGAAAGGTGAGGGACACACATGACACATGTCTCTTCTGGGCTGCTCTCCTGATGGTTAGAAAGGTGTTTGGCCAGCAGTGAGATGGCCCATGCAATAGCCTGGTGAACAAACTGGACCATAATGGTTATAGAAATTACTGTGTACACACACTGCAACAAGTAACTACAAGTCTTGAAACAAACCAACCAGTAACATTACATCCCAGCCCTTCTGCTTACTTCACACTTCAGCAAATGATGAATCCCAGGGAATGCCAGGATTCTAGGGTAGCACTGCAAAGGAGCAGGATGACTTACCTTAACTGGATCCTGCAAATCTGCATCCATGCAATACCATTAGGTATTATGCAATGTTGCATACAAGAAATAAGCAGTATGCAAAGTCTACTGTATGAAGATATATAAAAAACAACCCAGCCTCTGAGATCTTGAACATCTTAATAAATTATTGAAAAGTTTTATAAACAAAAAAGCTTTTAAGGAAACGTGTGCAACATCTACCTTGGTTGAAGAAAACAGAACCACAGTGTAGCATAAATCAGCAGTTATTACTCTTGTGTTTAACCAGTTAGCATTCCAACTTTGTAAAACAGACTAAAGCATCTTCTTCACACAAAAGAGAATTCAAACCTGCTTTATCTGCTGGAGATACAGCACTGCTGCCCACTTCAGAAGCACATGCAGAGACTTTGGCACATGAATTAATACCACCAAATGTATCTGTATTAGTTTCCTTTGATAAGTTCAGAAATTCAGTCTTTTTAGAGTTCAAGTCATTTGTACTCCCAGAATCATCCTGAATGTCTAGTAAGGAGGAGGTGTCCTCTACTAACCCATCTCTTGAACAGGCCTGAAAAGGTGT